TCGGCTTGTTCATCGCTCCGCGTATGCGTCCATACCCCGTGCGCAGGGGAGGAGGCAAAGAAAAAAAAAGTGTTCTGCAGTGGCGGCAAATAGTGGCAGATCGAACTAGCAAATTTCTCACAATTTCTCGCCCAGTTCAAAAATAACAATAACAAAAAAAAAAGGAATCAAATATAAGAAACAAATAACGGATCGTAGTCAGATGCTCTAAGCATCAATACCCGAGTTATTTTATTCTCCCTCTCATTTAGGCTTCTTTAGCTCGCTATCCCTTTCTATCTCTCTCCACCTAACTTTGCGCTGCGGGCGAGCCCCCACATACCGGTGCCCGATAAGCGCCGCTGATCTGCACATAGGAATGCAAGACTGAGCGCAGAGGAATGTAAGGCGGCGTGAGGGACGGGAAGAAAAGAGACAGACAATCACCGTTAAAATTAACTCGATCTGCCTGAGCCACTCGGTCGTCATCTCATTTTTTTGTGTGTGCGAATTGTGTGTGTTCTTCCTTTTTTTTTAAACTTTTCAGGGGCCCAAATCGGAAGCGCTTCGTCGATGGAGGTTCCTGTAAGTCGTTTAATTGAATAAATAAAATATGTATATGAAAGTTCGAAAAATATATAAAAATATGAAAGTTCGCCACGGGAGCGCACCCAATTAGTGGGTTGAAAAGAGAGGGCATCGGAAAGTCACCTCTTGATTCTTTTCCCTACGCCTCTCGTACATTACACCTTCTCTTTTGGTGGATCGCTATGCCCAGCAATTGCTCACATAAAATTTTCTTACATTTCTTTTCTTTTCACTCCTATTCAAATCATCTGTTCTCTCTCATATCTAGCCTAAGCTTCTTATTTATTTACAGTACTTTACTCAAATTATTTAAAATTAAGTCGTAGCCAATACTCGGGGAAGGGAGAAGCTAATGAGTACATTAAATTACTGGGGATCACTAATTTTAGTCATAAGAAATAAATAAACGTTTATAATGTCTGAGTAGAAGCAATAGTGTTTGATCTCCTGCAGCAAGCCCCTGTAGGTCTCGCATAATGTAAGGGGTCTTGTAACAAATTATGTGGTATCGGGCACAGCAAGACCAAGGTAGGGTGGGCGAACATCACTCCTCATGAACAGCTGAGGAATTCTTTTCGTTGTCCGTTCACCAGTGCAGTTATTGTCTTTCGTTTTAGGTGTTGTGCTTTCCGTCCGGTTTCGTATGGCTTATTGACACGCATTAAATGTAAAATAATAATAGGGTAGGCCTCAGCTTAGGAGCAAATAAACAAGAACACCACACTCGTGGCCGACGAGCCAGTAGCCGGAAAATTGACAGCGTGCCGCTTCAAGCTGAGAGGACCATCTCGCCTACATCGTGGTTGCACGTTACAGTCTATTACCGTTAACCGAAACCCAATGCCGGTGAGACCGTTCAAGTCTACATCCTACCAGCGCCGCTTCTCCTTCAGAGAGCACACCCACCAGCTCCTCATTTTCCTGCTCCTTGGCTTGCCTTCTATTAGAGATTTCCTACTTCATTTTCCTCAATTTTTCACCGTCTCTATGTGTGTTGCCCCATTATGAAACCCAAAGCCATGACACAGAGAATGTTGCAGTCGCGGGACTAGGACGCACCTTAAGCAGACTGCAGCACGAACACATATCCGTATTCCTGTGCGACCCACGTCCTGGATGGAGGAAGAAGACGGGAAGGAAGAAGAGAACGAGGCCCTAGCTCATTGTTGACGCAACTTGCTCATTAATTTTTTACGCTTAATGTGTTCTCATAATGATTTTTAAATTGCGTCTCAGATTTCACAGATTTGGGCGGCCATCTCTCTGGGCTTTCATCAGTCGCTTTCCCGCTTTCCCGCTTAGCACCACTGACGTCAGAGCCAGAAACAGCACCAGCAAGAGAGGTGAAGGCAGCTCATTAGTGACCCGTCCGTAAACAAGAAAATTCATTCATTTATGGTTGCATTCATTCATTGAATCAATGAATCTCTGATTTTTCCCATTTCATTCATTCATTCAGTCATTGATATTTACGTAAACAACGCAAATGCAAGAGGATATACAATAAAAAATAAATTTATTGAACTGCCATGATGCAAAAATGTACAATAACAAGTGACGAAAGATACCTTTGTGGATGGAACATTTTGATACCCTATTTCTTCAGTGTTTAGTCAAGTGGGAGTATTCGAATCTCCAGAACAGTTCTCAGAAAAGTTTTCAGTCTTTCAGTCGGGAGCCATATGATATAGGGCCATATAGGGATATGATATAGGGACTTGTTATAGGGCGAAAATCGGCATGTGATTATTCTGATACTGATGCCTTTGCTTTTTTCTAGGTCGGAGATGCCTTCTTTTGCTCATGGCAAACATCTGTTAAATATCTACTCCCCCCAGCAAGAGTCTAACAACTGAAGAATTTCGAGTTGCTGCTCTGACTCCTACTCCTCTGATTCCTCCTTCTTCTGGGCACACAAAACTCCTTTTGCAGCTTTGAGCAGCACGCATACGCCACGTTGTGCACTTGGACAGAAGAGGCCGCCTGCCGTTTGGCTGTGTGGGCGCCCAGAGAACTTTTTGTCCGGCTGACAAATTTAATTACTGCTTGGCAGCGGGAGTCTCTCCTCCACTGCTGTTTCCTCGTCACTGATATGTGTCCAGACCCACAGACAGGCAGACGAGCAGACGGAAGGAGGCATGGGCTCTTGTGGGCCCCGAACTGAAGTCACTTCATTTGATGCGTCAATCAGCACAATCAAAAACTGCAGCCATGAAAATCAATTAAAAACCCGTTGACATACTGGCCTAGGCCGGGCGGAGGTCCTAGGAATCCAGGACGAGGCTCCGGCGCCACATCAAGGCTCCCCAGGATGTTGTGTCTGTCTGCCTGGCTGCTGCCTCTGCAACTGCCACTGCCTAGGGCTCGGGGCATCCGTTGGCTGTCAACAACGTTGAACGTTTTGCAATTGACGCCGCCAGGATTAACATTTATATTTCAGCCGGCTAACAGGGATCCATGGGGGATGGGGAATGGTGACAGGACCCTATTCTGTGTGCCTTTTTTTTTTGCTTGTTTCATGCTCTTTGCAATTCATTTCATATGCAAATGCTCTTTTGTAGCGGATACAAGTAACACATACGACTGAATGAGGCAGGATACACGGAACACGGGGCACGAGGCACGGGCGACGTGGACTCTGGCAAAACAAATCAGAGGCGAGCAAGCGACCAGAGATGATGCCGCACAATTCTCTGGCCTGCACCTTGCTCCTTCCCCCAATGGCAGTTATTTTTGGCAGGGGGGATCCGATCGGTATCAGTTACATGGGTGACGTCAGCGAGTCGTTGCATAGTTAATTGCTGCCACGCTGAGTTGCACAAACAGGGAGCCCGAGCATGGGGTACTCTCGCCCACTTAATAAATGAAATGTCATTGAGGCATGCGGCAATCAGTGCCGCACAAAACCCAAATGAAAACACAATTCAACACGCAGCAAATGATGCAGTGTGCGCGGCGGGAGAGCGCTGCTTGGCTGGCTGACTGAATGACTGACCGGTGAATTGGATAACTGAATGACTGACGGGATGACTGACAGGGTCCGAGCGGCGCTTTATCTGCCTCTTCAGGGTGCCACACAGCAAACAATGGCAGTGAAAGGCAGCGAGGCGTCTGCGGGTGTGGGTGTGGGCGAGGGCGTGGAGCACTAAGAGTCACACGCACTCGGCCACTTGTCATAGACACCCCCTTGAGCAGCCTAACCAAAAGTTGTGGCACCACCAGCAACGGAGACTTGTGGGATACCCTGGACTCCTGAGGGTTTCTCTAACACCTACACATCTATTTGTACAATTTAAGCTGTTTTTGTAGCTTAAATTCCGAAGAGTTTTCGTTCCTGGACCCAAACTAATATCATAGTTTAGTAACCCCTCTGCTACCCTCTCACTTCACAGAGAGAGGGAGAGCGAGAAGTAGGTTTCACAGAGAGATCCCCAACGAACAAAAAAAAGAGAATGGCAGCAAAGCATGGTCCAGCAATTGCAACATTGCAGCTCAACCCTGGGAATGTGGCAGTGCTGCTCCTCCACGGCTGCTGCTGGACTGCTGGACTGCTGCACTGCTACACTGCTACTTGCTCTTGCAACTGCCACTGGTGCTGTGTCAGCTGCAACTGATGACATTGTCAGACATCAAGGCGGCTCCCAGCTATGAAAGGACTAACAAGCCCGACAGTTACTCAGCGTCAGACGTCGGCAGAGGTCCCGCCCTGCCCTCTGCCTGTGCGTGTGATGGGGCATGTGGCATGTGGGAGATGCGGGGGCCTCGTGCAAATTAAAACTTGGGCCACACACTTGACACGTGCTTAGTTTGTGCTGCACTCGCTGCCCCATGACCCATGCCCCATGTCTCACTGTATCTTTTTTTTGGCTTTGCATGTTTGCGGCTTCTGCGGCTCTGCCCCTGGCTCTTTCTCTGGCCTGTTTGGGATCCGGCTCCGGTCCAAAAACTGGGGGTCGGAAAAGCGGTGCCTGCTCTGGGCAACATATCTTTTTTTCTGGTTCTGCAGGGTCTTTCCTCCCTTTTTTCCATGGTTTTGCTAGTTTAATTTATGAGATCGTGCCACCATCCCACCGCCCACTTGCGTGCGGATGCATAAACTTGTTGCACACACATTCCCACAGCAGGTGAAGGGTCAACTTTGCTGCTGCTGCTGCTGCTGCTGCTGTTTATGATGATGATGATGCGGCTGCTGATGAGGAGCGGCGGCTATCAGGGCGGCTGTGGCTCGGACTGTGGGTCGGGGTGTGGAAATTTATGTGGCAGCTTAAAAGGATTTGGTTAGAGGAGTCTAGTGGCTGCCATTAACTGTAATTAATTTTATTTTTGTACTTTTGAATCAATCAGCAAATTGAAAATACATCTATAGTTAATCTGAAATTAAGCAAATATAAAAATAAATATACAAATACAGATAGGCAATATGTATTACTTACGATGGAATTTGTATTGTATGGGATTGTTTTATGGTTTTTTTTGTGCAAAAATTTGAATCTGAATTAAAGAAATTTAAATAAATGCAAATTGTATCAATGAAAAGACGGATCTACTTACGATGGAAGCGCAGCGTAGTAGGATTTAACTGCTAATTGTCGTGCCAGAAAGCCAAGGCTTCTCTTGGCTGAAATGATTAAAGTTGAAAGAAATTTTATATTCAAATGTAAAATACAACAAATTAAACGCCAAAAATGGCCGCATTTTCTTGGACAAATCATTTAAATTAGCACAAATAGATTTTAATTGGATTAATTTGCTTTTCATTCGGAGTACCGAACAGAAAATTTGTATGTGGTGTGGCCTTAACTTAATTTACTTTTCTGGCCTGCATTTTGTTTGCCTCTTTTGGGGCAAACCTGCAACTGTTGCACAAAATATTGCTGTTGCTACCACTGCTGCCACTGCAACTAAATATGGTGATTGTTTTCTTTTGCTTGTAGGTCCCTCCTTTTCTAAAGGGATTTCGATTTTGGTTGGCGCTTTGTAATCTAAGGAAAGTATAAGGTATATTTTTCAATATGTTCTAATAAAAGCGCCTTAAAAGTCGCTCAGTAGAAAAGTCTTGTTGAGGAAAACTTTTCTGTTGTTAAAGGTAATTCAACAAAACTGTAAGAACTATATGTGAATACCCTCTTTGCACACTCTGACTTGACATTTGAAAGTTTGTTGATCAGATACATTCCATTGGATTGATCGGTTCTTAAGGGTATACATGGTTCGGTTCTCGCACCTGAAAATTTTTTCAGATATTTTTTTTACGCACAGACATATGTTTGCTTGCCAAAAACTGAATCAAATAGTAATTTATGGTCTGGGAACAGTTTCTGCAAACTCTTGCAAAACGTGTGTATATTTTGTTGCTATTTCTTGTTATTTTTTTTGTTTGAGTTGCATTTTTGTCATGACTTTGCATAATTTTGGGCATAATTTTTTGTAAAAACTAACTAACGGGAATTTCAGTCATGTGTAGGAGATGGTGGAGTGGGGGAAGGTGTTGCAGTGAGAGGAACACAGGTGTCTGTGTTTTTGCGCTGCAATCTAAACACTCCAACCAAAGCACTTGTTTTTGTTACGCCCTCTCTCTGGCTTTTTGATTGCCCCACATGCAAGGTGCACTCTTATAGGATGAGGAAAGGCTGCTAAACCAAAAAACCACGGCGATTCCACACCCTGTTGCAACACACCTTGCACCTACGCCCATGCAGGCTGAAAATGCATAACTGTTTGTGACTTCCCACTCCCCAGTGTTGTAGAGGGAGAATCATATACAGCGGCAAAAATATCACTCGCTTGCCCAAAAAGTCTGTGTGTTAGAATGAGATGGCAGGAGACACCTCTCACGTACGTGCATACATATGTACATATGTATGTGTCTGATGTGGTTGTGTGCAGCAAAGCCGCGGCGGGAGCAAAAAGCCGCGATGCAGAAAAAACTAGCAAACGGCAGCATGAAATTGCTCAATTTTTCTGAATAGCAATAGTCACACACAAAATGGAGGCCTACACAGCCCCCAGCCGGCAGTTCCACCCCCTAAACAGTGGGATCGCAACCTCTAGTTCATCTATCTTTCATGCGAAAGGGGATGGGGCATGATGGGTGCTTGACAGTTTGACGCCCCCGTTCATCATGCCGTGATGAACGTCGACTATAAAAAACCTTTTTTTTTGTCGCACTTTGTGTTTTTTTTATTTTAAATTCTGTGTTCCATATGACAGACATTTCACTTGACTTATGGAACCGAAACAGATGTGATGTCGTAGATTAGCATTTAACGCGGGTTCCCACTTTAAAATAAAATTAAAAATATGTACATATGTTGCCAACGCGAAAAAAGCCCACACATTTGTCACTAATTCAATTTATATGCAGCAGTGGAAACGATGTCGATCGGAAAAGGGTTCTCCCTCATAATTGAACCTCTCTGTCCATTTGGACCAACTTAATTAGAGTATGCGCTTAATTTAACTCAATTTAACTGTAAAATTGAGGCACAAATTGCGCAAATGCCAAAGAGAATACACACACACACACACACACACACACAAATGCGTAAAAAGAGCAAGCCACCAACAAGAAATAACTTGCAAGGGGCACACGCGGCCTTTGCGAAATTTGTATTTCATTTACGACATCAACTTTTCTTGTAATTGAGTTGGCATCGACTGCCCGGGCAGTCCACCACAGAGTCCTCGGAGCCAATGTCCATGAAAATCAGAGGCACGTAAATGCATATTTTTGGTGCACTTACCTGCATTGCGAATCGCCGCATTTGGCGCGGACAGTTCTACTGAAAGAGCTGTATCGGTTTTCGGTTTCGGCCTCATCCCCCTCGGCTTTTCTGTGCGTGGGGAATAAACAACAGTTCTCGTCCTAAGGACTTTAAATGCTTCTCCATTCTCCATGATCGGTTGCTAGCGTGAGAAAAGGGTTTCCATATGCATATTCATTTATAAAACTTGGCAATACTGGTAGTTTGTTCTTGTTATCGATACCTCTTTCTATCGGGCTATCGCTATTTCCATTTTCAATTACAATTTTACCAGCGCGTCGCCGACTTCTGGCTGCCGTCAGTGGAACAGTAATTTAATTAATTGAATTCATTTTGCCGCCAAAAACTCTGCCCGTGTCCACTGTGTATGTGGCTGGGTGGGCGTGTGTAACAGCAAATTAACGGAGTCTCTTTCTCTTCCTCCTCTGTCTGCGTATCATTGCATTTGTATGGAGCGTGCAAGAGGAGAGTGCATTTTCGGTTACGGTTTTTGAGGTTTCAACGGTTTCAGTTCTCTTCTTCGCTCTCTTTTTTTTTCTCTTGTTCTTTTGAAGCCATCCCAGGGCTGCCAACTGTCTTCAAATGCCTTTGTGGGCAAAAGCACGGAAAATCTTTTCATAAACGAGCTGCAGTTCCAAATACGATACGTCTCTTAATTTATTTTGCACCATCATTCTATCATCATTCTAATTAGATTTCCCCCGCAATCAATTACGAGTTCGTTGCTGAATTAATGTTTCAATTGATTCGTAATTACGTACGTCCCGCCAGCCCTGGTCGCTCCTACACCCCCCCACCGACATAATCCCGCCTGTTGTCCAGCCCCTGCTCCAAAATGGAAAATAATTGCAATCAATGGCGGCTGGCCAGACGACGACGATGGCGACGGCATCGTAAAATGCCTTTGTGGCATTTCAAATTAGCGCATCGCTTCCACAGCATCCATCGCCAGGATCCCTAGCGGTGATTCAAACTCAAAACAGGCCCAAAATGCCATGGTGGAGTGCGCCGAAGATAGGATACCGTCTGATAGCTGAAAGCTAGGCTATCGTCTACTAATTAGAGCGGCATATTCCTAAGAACGTGGATACCATAGGTCTGTGTTGTTGGATCGGAAGGCGACTTCGACATGGAGATTCATAGGTGCAAATGGACCTCTGAGTGCCCGAGATTCGGGATCGACAGAAGAGCAGGGACATAATTTAATAAGAGACAGTTTCTTCTTGTTTAACACAAACCATATACCCCGATTAGCAATGCCTTGTACCGGGTATAGATATACTATGTGCCAAATGGCTGGAACAAATCTGCAGTTGCAGTTGCAGTTACCTCATCGCCATTTACAGCCGTTGGTTGGCTGTCAGTCCGCAATTATGCACATGATGGGCTTCTGTACCAGTATGTACGAGTATTCAATGTGCGTTTAGGTTCTATCAGCTAGAAAATGTTGCTGGCCTGCATAAACAAAGGCATCCGTGGACCGCTGCAGCTACCACACTCGTGATCCCCATTTTGTTTCAGTTTCGGGGTTGAATTTTAATTATCATATAACCGCAGAGCAGACCAGGTTGGCAGAGCCAATGGTGATAGCGATGGCGATGGCGATGGCGATGGGGCAATGTAAACTTGATTATAAATTCAATGAAGTAACAGTGGGGGCTCCTGCATATTGTTCTAAGCATCGAATGGTAGGCACAAAAGGATGACAGGATGTCGTGTTGACGGCTTCAACCGGTTGCATTTCATCTGGAATCACATTTCTATGGTGAGCATTCGGCGGAAGTGCTGTCAATTACGCGACAGATGCCGAATCAGATGGAGGCGTGTCAATGGTATCCTGGAATACCTGCACGTACCATTGATGCGCTTACCTTTGGCAGTGATAGAGACTGCGTTTCCGTTTACTAATGACATGAAATTGCAATTTGAGACACAAGAGAATGTTCTCCAGGCAGGATATCTCCTGAAGCCTTTTCATGGCCTTTACTTTCAATACTCTATCAATATCATTTCAGTCGTATCTTTACCCCAATCCTTTTCGGAACTGCATTTTGGGATCTACTCAATCTGTCACGACTATTTTAATCCTTAATTCTATTCCCACACTCCCATTCTCTTTTATTCATCCTCTTTCTCTCTCTCTCTCTCTCTCACTCGTTCGGTTTCGACTAATGAGCTTTGGGTACCTTTTTGGCTTTTGAAGCTGGGCTGGGGCTCTTTGCCTTTTGCTTTGACATGTGCTCGAGTCCCTAACGTGTCCTTTGTAAGCTGAATTTGCATTTAGCCCGGGACTCAGCCTCAGTTGGAATGTGCAATGAGAATGAAATGACTCCTGTCTCCCTCTCTCTCTCTCTCTCTCTTTCTGCCTTCCGCTCTGGTTGCGTGGCGAGGTTGTGGCAGGGGCATGAGAGCAATGTGGCAGCTATAACCAACTGCTTGGCATGAGAACATTGTAGCCCGCACCCCGCTACTGCTGCTACTGCCGTTGCTGCTCCTGCTGCAATTTATGAAGTTCAACTGTAATGCGCTTTTAACCTGCAGCCTGCTGCAGCAGTCGCAGCCGCAGGAGCTGTAGGAGCTTCAGGCGTGTTGTGGCATTGTGAAGTTGCGGCCGCTTCTTATTATGCGAGGCACGTGGCCGAAAACTAAACACACAGCTACCACGAATCACCAGACCTGGCACTGCGAGAAATATCGGTTCAAGTTTTGCTGCTAATCTGTGGGGTACTCGTATTCCTGCTCTTGCGCTGCCCGATCTCTACTAAAAGCGCTCTTCGTTGTTGCTGCCAGATATTTTGAGTACCAGTTAAAGAATGTCGCTGCTGCTCTACGGCATTCAGTTCACAATGCAAGAAAATAGCTTGAGATGCAGTTGCATCGTTTACAAAAGTTCTCTTAAAGCTGTTCTGCTTTTATTGCTGTCGACGCGCTCTCTCTCTCTGCTGCTGCTGAGCTTCCATGCAAAGCCTCACTCTATTTCTCTCTTCCTGGATTAAATCTCAGCTGGCGCTGAACTTGACATTCATTTCCATAGGTGAACGTCTGAAGCTGCAGTTCAAGCCATGCTGAGCAGTGCGAACTCTCCTAGCAGATACCGATATTTTGGTCTCTTTTCTTCCAGTGTTGTCGGCGGCATAAATAGCGTTACTTCTCTCTCACATACACATGCATGCACACAAATAAGTCTGGGCAAACATAAAATGTAACATGCGAGCCGCATGTGCCGTGCACAATAAATACGCGATACCTTGGGGGGGTGGGTGTGAGGTGGAGGTGGGTTGCTGTCAAATGGCATGGGCATGGGCATGGTCAAGTAGTTTTACTAAAGACTACAAACTGCGCTGCAGAAAGTGCAGAGGAGGGAGGGGGGCTGAAGCGAGCGAGCGAGCGAGCGGAGCGGAGATCATGTTTCTTGGCACGCACACAGATGCACATTAATAACAAACATGGCTTATGGCCATGAAAAGAGTGTGGCTGATGGATGAGAGAGCGGAAGGGGGGGTCTGGACGGGTATGTCGGTGGGTGAGGTCAAACTTTTGACCACACCATAAAGCCACTGCAGTCAGCCACTGCCCACTCTCTGCCTCTCTCCCCCCCTCTCTCATTGGCACAATTAAAACCAAACAACAAAATTTGAGAACTAAGAGGAAACTGAGGCGTGAACCACAAGCTGCCATCCCCCGTCCTCCACCCAACCGGCATCCTCTCTTTCTATCTCTCTTTTGACTCTTGAAAGCGTGCACAAATATTTTGACACTGCAAATATTTAACAACTTTTTTGTCCTCTTGGCCTTTCGCTCTTTGCCGATAAGCAAAGTGATATGGTCAAGCGAAAGGCGAAAGAGGGCCACAGAGGGGAGCAGGAGGGTGCAGGGTGTAGGTGTCACATTGTGGTGTGTGTTGTACCAGTGAAAGAAATTCAAAGTCAAAGTTGTTTGGATAGTCCCATAGTTTCATAGTCGTATGTGGCACGGACGGATAACGGATAAAACAAAGAGAGTTGTGGGCTCTCGGGAGTGGAAAAGGGCTGTGAAAACGATGTCAAGGTGCATCCGGATCTCTGTGAGTCCACAGCAGAGGTGACTGCATTGCGTACACAGCTGAAGTTAAACTTAAGCACTTTGAATTTGGGTCTAAATCTATCCATCTATCAAGGGATATTTCTCCATTCTCTCTACTATCAGCATCTCTTAATAGAAGAGATCAGTCTATGATTCCGGTTTCCCCCACTGTACATGTAACTCCATCTATAAATCTATCCTCTTCTTATGATACATCATCGTACTCTATAGTAGCTTGAATTCCCATTCCCACTTACAGCATATTCTCCCACTTCCTGTTGGCTCTCTTCTGCCTGAATCTACCAATTTGTCCACTTTAAACCGAGCGCAAACCGAGTGCATTGGGATGGGGGCCAAGTGTCGGGCAAGGGCAGGAGGCCACGCGTGGACGAGTGTGTAAAAACCCAATAACCCAAAGCTCAAGGTGACAATGATGGAGAAGGCAGAAGGCGGAAGGCAGAGGCAGAGGCAGAGGAAGGTGGGTGAAGGGGGTGTCACAAAGTCACCAATGCTTCCATTTATGTGTGGGTGCCTCTCTCTCTCTCTCTCTCTCTCTCTCTCTCTCTCTCTCTTTGTGTGAGTGTATTTGAGCTGCTTGTTTGTTTGCTGTTGTTTGCTCTTGTTGGGGCTGCTGCTCTCCTCTGCTCTTGTTGTTGTTGTTGTTGCCTTATTATATTTTCCAGGAGAACAAAAGGCGACTGTTGCCTGCTGCTGTTGCTTCTCTGGCTGCTGCTGTAACTGTCTTTTCATTGTGGGACAATAGCTGAGAGGGAAAGGAAGGGACCAAGGGAAAGGGTGAAAGCACCTTCGCAGTAAGCAATTCATATTCTTGATATGGTCCCAGTCCCAGTCCCCATCCCCGTCCCCGCCCCCGCCCCGTCTCTTTCTCCCACCCTCCTTGTACACCATTCACTGTGTGTTTACTGTGCACCTTGTCGTTGTTGTTGTTGCCCTTTCTGTGTCCAAGAGTGCATAAGTCCAAAGTCAGTTATGGTGTGTGTGTGTGTGTGTGTCCGGGCAATACCCTATACGAC